AACACAGAACATTCTAGAAAGATTATAAGCTATATACTGAGAATCTAAAATTCTGCCTTCTAGTTCTGCAGGCAGTGAATAGCTTCTGATTAAAAACTTTGCAAAAGAACAAGGGCACAAATTTAAGGAATCATACTGAATCAAATGTAATAGAAAAAAAAGCATTAGCAGGACGTGTACACAAACACAAAAAATTAAAGACGTGTCTTGCAATATAACTACAGGAGCATATTCGAGAAATATGTAATACAGAAGTATGTAATTTTAAAGTGACTAAAGCCATTTGGGGGGGAAAAAACGAAGTATGAACGAGATGTACACCTTCAAAATTAATTTTTATTTCTCCCGAAAACAAAACACACTGGCCACTAAAAGACACTGGCCACTGTCAGAAGACAAACACAAGTAAAAGGATGAACAACTGTTATTCAGCAAAACACTCTCAGTTCAAACCAACTACAATTATAACCACTCCTTTCCCATGGCTAGCACGATTTTTCCGCACTAGCAGCTCGTCTGTGCTCGACACTCACACAATTCCCCAAGGACAACTTCACCGGAGAACGCTGCATCTCCACCAGGCAGGAAACAGCAACCCCCTGCTTCCTGCAGTGGCAGCACAGACAGGAAACACACAGCGCAGCAGAAATCCAGCGGAGCTTTTGCTGGCACATCCCCATTTCCCTGTGTGAGGGCGTTCGCACACCGAGCCCTGCACACCTGCGCACACCTGCGTGCCTGCATTCAGGCGCACAGACACACACATATATACATACATACACGCACGCGCACACACACACACGCAAGCACACGTGTGTCTACACACGGACACGCCATACGCCCCTCATGACTGCAGAGGGCAGGCCGCAGGCCCGCGGAGGGCCGTGTCCCACCCCGGCGGCGGGGCCGGGCCGGGCGCGGTGCGGGTCCGCGCTAAGGGCCCCTGGGGGCCGCCATGTTCCCCCCCGCCCCCGAGGGGCCGCAACGTACCCGCGAGCCGCCCCGCGCGCGCCCGGCGTGGGAAGGGGCGGAACCGCGCATGCGCAGGCCCGCGCGAGAGGGAAGCAGAGCGGCGTCCGCGTGAGGCCGCCGGGCAGGGCGCCCCCCAGCGGCGGGCGGTATCAGGGCGCGCGCCTACCCCCCTCACACCCCCAGCCGTGGCTTTGGGGGCTCCGTGGGGATAAAGGGCAGCGAAAAGGAAGAGAAAAGCTTATTTTTATCTGATGGTTTGAGTTCAGGCAGGGGCCAGCGAAGTATTTTTGGCTGGTGGCATTCCTCCGGGCAGATCTGTAGCTGCAGAGGTCCCCGGCAGTGCCGCGCTCCCTCCGCCCCCGCGGGAGAGGGCCGCGCCTTCGCGCTTCCTATTTTTAAAGGCCGCCGACAATTAGGTTTTTTAACTCCGGTGTCAATGCTCAGCGAAGGCAGCGAAGTTCTTTCACTGCCAGATAACTTTACGAAAGAATGCCGCCCTGTTACAGGAGTCGGTTTTGGAGACTGGGATGATATTCTATGGGAACAATGTATTTTGGGCAGCCTGAGTATGTTGATGTCTGTTTGCCCCCGGTTAACGAGGCACACAAAGTTAGCAAACACACGAGCGTGCGCTGCCATAATCCCCTTTCCGTGTGCATCAGTGTTTAGCTCAGGTTTCATGGGTGCCACAAATACACACTCGGACAGTTTTAGTGCTGGTTTCGGGTTCGCCACAGCTGTGTTGCACTCACAAAACTGTGTGGTGTCACTATAGTGAGACACTGACCTTTCAATTGCTGCTGGAATTTAATATTTGCTGTAGTATTTGATCTAATTTGTGATTCCTGTTCAGTGCATTGCTTTAAAAATAGCTAGATTTGCATTTGCTGGGGTCTATTTAAAACCTAACTCACGTTACTATTAATATCTAGCTTGACACGCCAGCATCATAAAAGCCCAAATGCTCCAGTCTCCCTGTGGAGAATCCTTTGGTGTTTTTTGGTCACTGAAAGGGAGCAGATGGGTTACCAATAGAAGCCTTTTTTTTGAAAAAAGCAAAAGACATCTGACAAAGTCATGTAATACTCAGATGTGCTTTTTCCTAGAATGAAGAAGCTGCTTACGCAGTTTGTTTTTCTCATAGTGCCCTCTGCAAAGCATCAGTATTGCTCGTCCAGCCCCCTGTGTCCTCAGACAACAACAGAGCATCATGCAATGTTTTCCAAAGTCTGCCAAGTGGTGACAACGTGAAATGAAAAACTGAGCAGTCGCAAATATTGGGAAAGAGCTGTCTGTCTAAATTTCATTATTTTTATAGGGCCTTAACGTCACCTTTTCAAGATGCTGATCCTGATGGTGAGTCACCCTCTCTCCCAGCAACAGAAAGAACTAAATATTCCAGAGCTTAAAGCTGCAGCTCAACAGGCAGACTATGGAGAAGAAAAAAGATACTCAGGGGAGGCTCAGGTGTGGGCAATGTCATTGCTCCCTGTGGGCTGGGCCTGACTGCAGCACTCTTGAGGAAGGCTCAGGGTGCAAACTGGCTTTGGCCAGTGGCTTGGGTGGGTATCTCTGACCCCCTGCCCCCTGTGGCAGAAACAGGGGGTCTTATTCACCCAAAGCCTGCGAGCTGGGGGCACACGGGCAGCAGCTGAAGGGTAAGGATGCACTGGGGTACTTTGGTGCTCACACCTGAAGGTTTGAGTTGAAAAGCAAGATCTTTGTGCTGTTGCTTCAGAAGAGAAGGCAAAAAGAAACATTTTGTTGACTCAGAACATGGGAGGAAATCTCATTAGTTTTATTAGGCTGTATAAAGATATGAGCCCTATAGTTTGGACTCTGGAAAATGTGCAGCAGCAGGAATACTTTGACCCCAGTCTGTATGCCAGCATGGCGTGAGGCATCCATGAGGGGCTGAGCCCACAGCCTGTACGTGGAGTGGACTTTGGTGGGCACAGCGCCGTTTGCACGGGTGTAATCTGCCTGAAAGGAAGTCACTGCTGATTAACTCTGGCCATAACTGGGGTGAGGCTCAGGCCTTCTGTTTCTAAGATGTTTGAAGAGCACCCCAGCTCTGTGTTACAGGTAAGCCTGTGGGTGTATAAATGTGTGTGCACGTGGAAATGTATGGACAAAATTCCTCTACGTGGCAGTTGTGCCCTTAGCTCTGCAATTGACACAGCTACAGTGGTGTCCAAAGAGAGATGTGGATTTACATCAGCAGGAGATCTGGCTAGGGATATTCTAACGGAGGCCTTTTTAAAAAAAAGTATTTTATTTGAAAGAAGAAATAAATTTCTTGTGTCTCAAGAGCACAGAAAGAGGACAATTGCTCTTCTTCAGATTTCAAACCAACATCACCTCCCCCTTCTGAGTAAAATGTCAATGCTACTTTTCTGAAGCAGGACCCATATCTCTGGTCTTTCTCTAGATGGAGTTGGTTTTGCACCAAGATAGTGTCCTTATTTTTTTCAAAACAGCACAGAAAGCCTGGAAAGCTCCTTGTTTACTAAATGCAGCAAAAGGAGGCCTCTGCCTCAGCCCCTTGAATTCGGGAGCATGGCACAACCTGTGCTGAGAAAGCAGCATAACCAACCACAAATGGGGAAGAAGCAAAGGCAGACCCCTGGCGTTTCCTGATCTCCTCCCTCCCACGTGTGCACACACAAACAAAATACAGGAAGAGGCCCAGGGGGAACTTCACAAGGTGCAGATGAGCATGGGGGAGAAGCAGTGGCATGGGCCTGTTGTTTCCCACTGCTGGGCAATGATTGACATCCACAGTGTTTACTCAACTTCTCTTTACCACAAAGAAAAAACAGAGGAGGCACTTATACCCCTCAAGGTGAAGGCTGCTCTCACTTTACCATCCCTCACAGAGCATGGGGCCCTCTGGGAGCATCTAATTGCAGCCTGGGGTGGCACTTGCTGGGTTGGGGTGTGTGTAGATCGCAGTCACATGAAATCAACCTGAGGAAGTGAAGTGGAAGACTGTGTCGATGGCTCCCTTGTGTGTTTCCTTTGCTGGCAGGAGCAGATCCTGCTTCCTTCCAGAGCTGGGAAGGCTTTGTGTGCTGGGGAGAGGCATGCAGCCTCGCAGGGCATGCCAAGAAACACGGAGGGTTGGCCTGCTGCCCCACTGACACCTGAGGGACAGCTGAAGGACATCCTTTAACCAGCCCTGTGGCCATGAGGTTAGTGTGAGAGGGCCTGGGATTTACTGTCCGAGGAAAAGGGATGCATGTGGGTTAGTCAGGCAGGGCCTTTTCAAGGGAGGTGGTGAAGGAAGCACAAGAAAAGGGGGAAGGGCTTGGTTTGCCCTGCTCCCAGACCTTGCCAAGCTGGTACCCTTCATGGAGATGGGACAAAATATCTTGTTTTATCTCATCTTTCAGGCTCTAACCTCTGCCACTGCAATGATGTAAGATGGGGGCTGGGGATGCTGAAAGAAAGAACATTGATTTAGTATGGTACAATGCAGCAGGCACTGACATCACATCTGAGTCTGTAATGAAGTAGGATCCGTTTTTGGGATGGCACTGATAAATCCCATGTACTTCTGCTTCCTGGAAGACCCTAAAAAAACCTCTGCTTCTGTGGTTGCTCAGAGATGATGACAGATGATGCAAGACAGTGGAAACAGTGGTCAAGATCTGGCCCCTGGCAGAAACAGAGCTGATGGTCCTTTCATTCAGAGAGAGGAGTGGTGGCAGGATCTGGTTCTTCCAGCACTGGAGGTGGGCTCTGCTGCTCAGAAATGGGTCTGTGTGGGCTCAGTATTCAAAAATGAAAGCCAGGGTGATTGATAAAATGGGGTAGAAACTGCCTGTTACCTTAGTTCTTAATAATTAACTGGAAGTCCTTTAATGAACTTAGTACCTGAGTGTGGAATTTGGAATCTGACCTTTACTACATCTAGATAAACAGTGTGGCCAAGCCTGTGGCTCTCTCTGCAAGCTCCACTCTCAGCTCACTTCTTGGAGGTTCTCACACTTCATGCTGCAGTCAGGAGCTCGGCAGAGTCCAGCATGATTCTTCTTACCGTGCTGTTCCTTTGCATCATTTCCACCTACTCAGCCTCTGTGAAAGGTAGGTCTGTACTGGGCTTGGTTCAGCTTCTGCCTCAGCAGAGGCAAAACCAGTGTGTGTATGCAGATCTCTGTTTTGCTTCAGAAAATTATCAGCTTTACTCAGACATGCTTGAGTAATACAAGATGCATTTACTAGCTAGGTTTAAGTGCTTGTGGCATTCCTCTCAGCAAAGGTGATGGAGGAGATGATGTTTTCAAGTGCACAGGGCCAGTGGTGTGACCAGAAGATCAGAGATCTTGAACTTGCTTAATCAGGACATACTGTGGGGGCACTGACTTCAAAGGGACTTTTCACACGCTCAGAAGTTAAACACATGGAGTGTTCTGTGGAGCAGAGCCAGGAAGTGCTCAGGGCTGCCCAGGTTTCAGCTTCTGAGCAGTTGACTCAGCTACCACTGAAGTCAGTAAGAAGCATCCTGTTAATTTCATGAGAACGTTGCTCTGTAGTAAGTCTTGAAAATCTGGATGTCTGCAGAAACCCTGTGAGCAGAGCTTTACTCAGGAGTCCTGACAAAGTCAAGGGTATGAAATCTTGGAGACTGTCTGCTTCAGCAATGCCAATGTATGAAGCAAGGAAAGGTGTCTGTAGTAGTGACTCTTCATGTACAACTTCACATTAAATTTAGAGGAGCAGCAACCTTATAAAATAAGCTGAGTTTTTTAGTTTAATGAGATGTCTTCATCATGAAGGGAAGCAGGGGGAGCACAACATCCTGGGCTAAGCTATTAAAAGGGCTGTAGAGATGCTCTCATGGGTGCCACCTCCTGCATTCTGCAGGGAATCCAGGACACTGTGTAAGCACAGAGCAGCAACCTTCCTTCTTCCCTGCCTCTATACACCCTCATGACAGGAGTTATAAAGCAGAGAAATTTGCAAGCAGTGCCTTTACCTGTCAGTTTATTTCATGAGACTGCCACATTCCATTTATGGCTAGGTACCAATGTGCCACATTTCTGGTGTCTGATCTTCCCAGCTTCCCTTTAATATCAATTAAGCAAAACTTCTTGATGTGAAGTAGTATTTGCTTGTCACATTCCCCAGGATACTGAGCAAGCATTTTCCCTTTACTTAGTCATCCCTTCAGCTCTGCCAGATTTCCTCTCTCTTGTGCAGAGGGATTGAGAGCTAAATTACTGGCCCAAAAGCCACTTAGGGCCTCAGGGTAAGAGTTGGTATTAGGATAAGGGTTTTACCTTTTCATCAGGTCACGCTGCCTTTTGGAAATATTGAAACATTATTCTGTTTGATTCAGGTAGGTCAGCACACGTAAAACTTTCCTACTGCAGTTCCACTTGAAAAATGTTTTCAAATAAGCGGATGGGGTTTGCTTTTTAAAGCTATCTGGTGTCAGAGATAGTGGCAAATATGATTTATGAAGGTAGAGCTGGCAAGTAGTTAGAGACACATATGCTGTGCATGCCATATGTATTAATAAAAGGCACAGGACTTGACAGCTGTCTCTGCTCATGCAGTGTAACCTTCTGTATTATACAGTATCATGATTTAATTATAGACTTGGCATGTTACCCTTAATGACAGACACTTAACGTTACTAGTCAAACTATGTGTTATGCACTCCACCTTGGAAGCAGCACTTCTGACCCCCAGAGAGCTTGGCTGGGCTGCTGGCAGTCTGTGTGTCCATCTCTCCTCCCTTCTCAGGCAGTGGGACACTTGCCATCAGCTGAAATGTCAATGGCTGCACAGGCAGCAAGGATCCCAGTGCTGTGCTGAATACAAAGGAAGGAGCTTCTAAAAGGGTCACTTTCTATTAAGAAAAGTTTCCATCAGAAAGGTGTTGCAATATTCCTGTCAGAATAGTACTGGTGTTTTCTTCGTGGAAGTCGGCATGAAAATTTAGTTGTGTTGTTTTGAGTACTGGTTCTGCTCAGTGACCCTGTGCCTCTGTTATGTCATCTGTCATCTCTCAGCCTGACCACACTCTTCATTTGTCTCTCTTGGGTTCCCCATTTCCACAGGGATAAGTGCTAACTCTTTGGGACTGCTTTCAATACTGCCTCATCCCTGCTGCTTCTCTTATCATCATCCACTCTTGGCCTACCCTTGCCCAGTCTGGCAACTAAAGGTGTCTTCTGCCCTGGCTCCTGCAGTGTTTTCTATGTGTGAATTGGTAAAAGTTTTCAATACCTCATGTTCTTCTAGCTCCCAGGAATACTTTGCAATTATTCATTTCTTTCATGACACTTGCAAGAAGGTCCTGCATCATTTGCTCATCTGTTTCCTTTAGGATGGAACAGCTCTATTGTATGTGGGGATAAGCAAATGCTAAAAGGGAGGAGGAGGGAAGGAACTCTTACAAAAGAAGAATAAAACCATGTGTGTGTTCAGCTGTGGGGAAAGGAAGAGGATAGGTGAAAGGTGCTTTTAACTGAGAATAGGGAGGGAGCAAAACCACAACATGCACCTTAACTAATAAGACTTGTTTCTGAGCACCCAAATAATTTCTCTTGGATGTGCTATTCCCCTACTTTTTTCCTGTAGATGGGGCTGTGTTTAGAATGCACCTAGTGGGTGGTATTCCTAAAATCTCAGCCAATACTAAGTCCTTTGCACTGCAGTTTCTGCTGCAAATCAAGGACATTTTGAACCAGGAAGCAGCTGGCTCCAAGGCACTGCAGGGAATCTGTCCCTGAAAGGCATAGCCACCTCTGAGCAGGCACTGAGCACCCTCTACTCTCAGGGGTAAGGTAGCTTCAAAGCAGGGAACTGGGGAAGGAAATTGGCTAGGAAATTCACAGTAAACCTCCAAGAAGGGTTACATGCCTCTTGATGACTTTGTTTGGAAACAGACACACAAGACATGCAAAACCAGACAGCCCCATTGTGCCAACATGAATCCTTCAACCTCCCTGGGAAAAAATCAATAGTTACAGCTTTGGCCTCTCATGTGTGAGCAGGCTGAGCCCACTGGGATCACCAGACTTGCTGCATCACATCCCCAGCTGGCATAAAGTCTGTTTAGTTCTGTAACTTTGCCAGTTTACCCAACTTGCAGATTAAACTTGCTGGAGTGTCCATTTTGCTCAGGGAAAGGTTCTTTGAAGCTGACCTTAATCCACTGCTATGGTATCTGAGTGAACAGGGAAACAATGTGATGCAAAGTCTTAATGAAGCAGGGGTTTTGAACTGCAGAATGTATCCATCCAGCCATGGTGGAACTACCTGTGCACCCACCTAAATGGGCTTTAAAATATTAAAGTGAAATAAGACTGATTATCCTTTCCAACAATGCAGTGATTTGAAGCTTATTTAAGTGAGTCAGATAAAACAGCGGGATATAAGATAAATCAGGATAGCCTGATGAATCTCTGCAGGAGGCTTTGAAGACACTGATTCCATTACAGCATGCCTAAGAATTTTTCTGAGCTGTTGTCGGAGATTTTTCTTCTTTCCTCTGCCCTTCCCTGCACTTGTCATAAGATTGAGATGCATGTCCCTGAGGACAGCACTTTGTGTTTCTTAGATTACCTCTGTTGTGAGCATGTTTCTGCTCTGTACCTCCTGAACTCCATGAAGAAATCTCCAGTGCATTCAGTGGTGCAGCATTTGGGTGTGTGAGGCTGGTGCTGTGCTGCTTACAGATAGCACCTAAGGTCACTCTGTGTGTGTTTGCTTTGAGAATGTTAAGAGCACTTAGTGTACAGCCAGCTTATTTTCCCTTCTCTTCCCTTTTACATTCCTTAAAATATATAAATTAACAGAAGAGACACAGCGATGGGAACAATTATTTAGTTGAAAGAACAAGAGCTTAATTATTTTATCTAAAAAATACATTCTTAATGTTTTCATCGCACTCATGTCACCCTTGGGCAAGTCTCTCCATGGAAAGATTCCCAATAAATGTGCAAGAGATGCAGAGAATTATTTATGTTGGCCCTAACAAATCACATCAGTGCATTTCACATTGCTAAGCACACAAATTGTGTGATTATTAACAGTATTTTGAGTTGCAAATAATTTTGGATTAATTTGTAATGCTAACATAGCTGAAGAAAAGAATCTGACAGTCTTAAAGAGCTAGAAAAAGGATTTTGTCACCTTTCTTATGTTAAATATGTATGATCAGTGTCAAGTTAATCACAAAAAACCCCAGCTGCTTCAGTGAGACAGCCTCTGTAATCAGGAGTAGCAGGATCAGTCCCATAAATCTTTTGCTTGTAATTAAATTTTTCATTTTTCTGTAGGTTTCTTAGAGAAAATGGTAGATTATGAGAGTTAGTCAATTCTAAAATGCTGTTTGTTTTTCCTTTCCAAACAGGGCACACTACAGGGCCCAGCCTAAATAATGACAAGCTATATAAGTTTGCTTACTCAGCTGAAGTCTATGTTGATCAAGTGAAAGCATCCCTGCAGAAAAGTGCAGGATATCGGATTTCTTCTGGTGTGGATGTCAACCTCTTATGGAGAAATCCTGACAATGATGATGACCAGCTGGTCAAAATTACGGTAATTATTGCCTTCAGACAACTTAAAACATACCCAATCTTTTCTGCACTTATCTAGCTGCTGATCTAATCTCAGAGAACTCACTTTCAGAACACAAGCTAAACCTTTTGTTCTCGAGTCTCATCAACTAAACCCAGCTGCTTTGATGATCTAGTTCCTATAGAATAAGATTTCACAAGTAACTATCTAACATCATAAGCCAGCACTTCAGAATGTCTCCTGTATTTAGAAATTGCTTCATACAGCACCTATAGCTTCAAGTGACTGGTGTGCAAGCCCTTACCTGAGGGGCAATATGTTGTCCTCAGTTGTAACTGTAAATATTTTTAAATAGAAACTGGGTTTGGTACTTAGCTCTCTGGTGACATTTTCTGGGACTTATTTCCCCAGTGGAGAGCACTGGCTTCTTCTGTAAACTTTGACATAGTAATCATGGAAGATTAATAATCAGAACCAGAAATGCAGAAAGAAAGAACATTGATTATGTGATTTAGTCTGTCTACTCTACTCCAGGCCAATTCTACACTGCTCTCTACATTAATTTCCTCTGCTTTTGCTTTGCTAGATGAAAGATGTTCAGGTTGAAAATGTGAATGAGCGTCCAGCTGATAAAAACATCTTCAAAGGAAAAAGCACAGAGAAGATCATCGGGAAAGAGTATCTGGAGGCTTTGCAGAGGCCCATAATGGTTGAACTAGTTCGTGGAAAAGTAAGAGCCTGTCTTTTAAAATTCAGTCCCTAAGGAAACATGACAGAAATCTTTTGTTACAGACTTGAAGAATTTACCAGTTCACCATCCACTCAGTGTTTTTAATAAGCCATTGTGTCCTATCATTCTGTGTGCAATACAGTAGCTGAGAGCAGATTATAATTTACCTTCTAGCCTAAGCCTAGAAGAACACCACACAATGGGGAAGTAAAGCACAGATTGTCCACAAAGATAGGTACACATGTATATGCACAATTGCTGTGTGGGATTTGTGCTCTTGACTTCAGCCAGGGCAGGATTTTGTCCAAGATCTGAAGGCAGAAAAGCAGATACAATTTGTCATGAGGGATGTTCTACTGAGTCTGTGAGGAACTCAGTAGAGTGTTAATCACTTTAAACCCTTATCAAGTATTTTACCAGGATTGCTTTTCCTATCTCCTTGGTTTTCTTATTTACTTCTGTGTCACCTGCCAAGTTAATGAGCTTGATGCTGAAAGAGCTACAGCCTTATATGTTTTTCCCCCACTGGGAGACAGTCTCCAAAGTGTGCCCCTTTCTCTAACACACTTTCTCTGGGAAGGGGATTCAAGTACATCCATCCCACTCTCTTTCCCCTGCAGAGCTGCTTGTGACAGCTGCCCTAGTACTCAGCCTACTCTTGTGGCCAGGGAGTGGTGGGGCTCAAGTCATGGCTGCTTCTGCCTCCTGCCCCTGGTCCTTCACCCTCCTGTTGCTTGTGGCATTGGGCCAAGAGCCCCATTTTCCCCTCTGCAGCCTGAGCAATGCTCAGCAGGTGGGGCAGGAGGGGCTGTGAGAAAGGAGGAAGGTTGAAGGTCACACTCCCTTTTCCCGTCTGCAGAGCGCAGTGAGAGCTGTGACACTCTATCCCAGCAGGATCTTTACCTCCTGCTGTAAATAGGCACTGAGCACATACCCTGGCTGCCAGCTCAGCCTGCTGAATTGCAGCTGCTATCAGACCTGCTCAGTAACTTTCAGACTCAGCCTTGTCATCAGTTTTACACAACATAAAAAGAAACAGGACAGCACTGGCTGTGAACTGCACACATCCCTACATGAGAACAGAGGTACCAGAAGAACACAGAATGCATCTGCTCCTCATACATTGCACACTTTCATATGCTAAGGCTAAGATGTAGTATTAAAAACTTGAGCTTTTTCTCAGGTGATAGGGTCTATATGCTCCTTTTATGATTTCTTTGTGGTATGACAATTTCAACCCTGGCACAGTAATTTCACTTTTCAGGGTTACCCCAAGATAACATACTGGTTGTACTTACAGTTCCAGATAAAGGGGCATTTCTAAAGCACCTTGAATGCAGAGTGGAGGTGCAAAGTCTTGTTACCAGAGGAGAGGCTCAAGCACAATAGTTGACCCATGAAGTGCAAAGGTTGTGATATGTTTGACACGTCATTGAAGTCATTCTATCTGTGATTTATCTATGATTCATCCTGAGTTTTTGTAACCTGTGATTAAAGTGCAACAGATATTATGCCCCTGTGGGGAGTGATTACCTGAGGATTATGCAGAAAAATGAGTCGCCTGTGGAAGTATGAAAAGTTTCCCATTTCCCATCTAAATTCTCTCTAATTCCAGGAGGAGAGATGCTCACTGCACTGAAACTGTACTTAGGTTCAGCTGAAGGCCAAAATGTGCTGGTACAGTTATTGCCAGGCCCTGTAGCCTCTGCAGTTTGCTCAAAATAAGCAACTAACAGATCCAAATTCAAAGTAAAGGTTTTTCTAGAGTGGATCCTCACTATTCCTTTCTAATTTAACCAGATTTGTTACACACTTTTGAATGCTTACTATATGTTTGGGGTTTTTTTGTTTTTTTTTTTTTTCAATTCCTACAGATCAAAACCTTCTACTCATATCAAAATGAACCTGGTTTTACTCAGAACATTAAGAGAGGTCTGGCCAGCCTTTTCCAGCTGCAGCTGCACTCTGGCTCTTCCCGTGAGGTATGGTGCTCTATCAGGCAAGATTATCATCACATGAGGAACAGGCAGAGCCTGATCTCCTCTGGAAGGCAGGCCTGTGGTTTCTGCTGACTTCAGAAAGAGTGAACTGTGATAGAAATCAGTCCTTTGATAACATTTGAGGTTAGGGACTTAAGGACAGTCTTCTGCATATTTGGTGGCACCAATCAAATAGCTGCAATTAGCATAAAGAAGTAGTGCAATCCATTTGATTTAAAATGCCTTTATAAATCTAGCACAATTTGGTAATAAACCACCTTAAACCAGGTCACTATAAAAGTGATTATACTGCTCTTTAAAGTTGGCTGATTCCTAAATTCAATTTAGTGGAATCCCATTCTAAATCCAAGTACCCACACAAAGTCAGCACTGATTTAGCTGCATCCATTTAAGTTGCCTTCTATTGTTATATTTCTAAACCTGTCCCCTTAAACAAAGCTCAAATTTAACTCAAACTTGTGAGTATAGTGTAAGCTGCCTGGTATTTCCTAATTATTTTGTTTAAATAGCCATTGTTACTTTTCTTCCTAGCCATCTAATGAACAGTACCCCTGTCAATCCAAAGCAGATAGTTAGAACCACTGACATCCTCAAAACTGTTAAATAAACCCAAGCAGTACAGCATCTCAGGTACAGGATTCCAGCAGTGGAGAAAATGCTTCATCTTTGGAAGGTGTTGGGGGGTCCCAAAGATAAATTCAAGAAATTGTCCTAATCTAACTCTCTTTTCCAAGGTGGACATTTCTGGGAAATGTGATACTACTTATCACGTGCGGCAAGATCAAGTGACTAAAATAAAAGACCTGGCCTCCTGTGAAATAGAAAAGAAAGGATTTACCAGCCACAACAAGGTATGATTTCTTTAACAAAATAAAATCTATTCTTCCTATTTAAAATATATTCTTAGCAGACACTACTCATCTTCTCAGAAGTCCTTCTAGCATTAGAGGAAGCAAATTCTATATGTAAATTTTGTAGTTTTACTAGCCCAAATGTCATATGTAGTTCCCATGGAGAGAACAGGGAATGGAATTCTCCTGTGGTGTAAACCACTTTGGCTCAGCTGATACAGATACATTCATAGTGATAATAGTAAGTTTTTCCCATCTGCTGTAAATGCCAGGCAAGATGCTGACTCCTGAATGGAGCCTGGTCAAGCTTGCCTGGAAGGTCAAAGGCTTCCTTCATGCACAGGTGTAATACAGGAGATGTGCCATGGAGGTAAATGACTTAGAAAGTCATTTACTAACAGTGGAGGACTAAAGTGGTCCTCCACTGTTAGTAAATGACTTTCTAAGTAGTCACTGCTGAGGACAGGCTGGACACCTGCTGGAGGCACTGGGATTCTCCACATCAGAAACTGACCTTTCTCAGCTCAGAGAAGTACAAAGACACCACACACTCTCTTAATAACTGCCTTAACATTATGACTGGGTTGCCCATTTTCACACTACAAAGACATAATCTTGTTTACAAAACAAGAAGCAAAGACAGCCACCTTGTTTGATCTGTGAACATGACAATCTGTTCGTTGATCTGTTTGATTGTGAACATGACAATCTTATTTACAAGACATTTCTCTGGAAAAGATTCTTGTCTTATTTAAAGCATATCTTAAACTAAATGTAGTACTGGGTATTTTCTCAGTTGCAGCCTGCTCCTACTGTCCTTTACCCTGGTACATACTAAATTTGAAGCACATAGTGTAGAAGTGAGTGGCTACTTACTGCAGAGGGACTACTTGAAAACCTGGTTCATAGGCTTGAGATGCCTGCCTATATGCACCTTCCTCATATAGCTCTGCTTCATTCCAAGTCTTGCCCTCATTTGGAACAGTGAGCTCTTTTCCTATGTTGTTTGTTGAATAACCCGCTTTCTGTTTTATTTTTTAATTATTTTCAGATCTTGGATATCAGTACAAAAGCCACATCTGCTACAGTTTATGTGCTGGAGGACAGTTTCATTAAATCCATTAAGGCAGAAGAAAATTTTGTTTTCGCTCTGAATTACCGGCGAAAAACAGGTGCCAAAATAGTTTCAAAGTAAGTTGGGCAATTGGGCTGTCATTGATGGTGGAGGACTAGTGCTTCAAGTTAGGTTACATGTGTAGGTTTTATAGAATTAAGATCTAAGGCTGTGAACTCTCCAGGATTTACGTCTCTTTTTTATCCATATACAGGTCCAACTGTGCCAGGTACCAGGTCCAACTTTGATTAAGGGTTCTACCACACCACAAATAATAAATAATGGCTTTTATAAGAAGTTAACAGGCAACAGCAGGAATTGGCCAAAACCTCTTAATCTACCCATTAGTGCTATAGGTGTTCTGTCGTCTCATTTCTCAAGAAATACTTCTGATGCATTTCCATTTCTAGCATATGAGAGTTTGGAAGCATAGCAAATAAAATCTACTGCATAGAAAGGAAACAACAGTGAAACCTAGATCTGTGTTAGACTTCAGACTCCAAAGCACTGAAAGTGTGGAGATACTCGTAAAAGATAAATAATTCAGGCAACTCGGTAATAATAGATATTTAAAAGAAAAAGTACATTCAAAAATTTCACTTTCCAGATCTTTTAAGAAAAAATATATGAAACATTTCAGAATGTATATGAATACTAAAGGCTGTTTATTAAGTATAACAAATCTGTGCTTTAGAAAGTCTCTCACACAGGTACTTTATTGCACATAACTCTAGCAGTAATTTTGCTGGTATCAATTACTTCTGTTACCTTAAAAGCCCCACAGACTTGCCATGTTCTGAACATTTTAAAATAAGAATTTAGTCAGTCTGCATTCTACATTTTTTAGTCTGTGGAGGGGTTTTTTGTTTCCCCTCGGTGTGATTTCTGCATCTGTGTGCTGATGGTTGGGCTCTGATGGTGTCCTCACTGTGTGGATGTGCAGGCAGAGGCTGGAGCTGAAGTCAGTCCAAGCTGGGACGGGACTGATCGCTGCAAAGCAAGTCGCTGGTGTGATCAAGACCTTGGACCCCAATTATGTTGCCATTGCCCTGGAAGCAGAGCCAGTGAAATCTGAATGCAAAAAGTGCCCTTCAGTAAGTAAACACAGGTTCATTGGACATCATGTTGCTTAGCTGAGCAGGACAAATGTGAAAGCAAATTTTCTGTCCAAGCAGAACTAGGACAGGTCAAGCATAGCAATATAAAATGCACCCTGGAGTAGGGAGTACAGAAGTGTTGCAATGGTGCTCACCCCACAAGAGTGTCGTAAGATCTACCACTAAAAGCACCAACCTTTTTGCTCTCTTTTAAAGACTGCAAGATTTCTCCAGATCACTAGAAAATACAGCACCCTGTTGTTTTATCTCACCTTGCCAGCCTTTAGCTGGGTGCACCTAATTTCCTCTGGGTGAAAATTAATTTTAAGATTGCTGACTGGTGTTTGTAAACAGTTCTATCATGGAAGAGCTGATCTGTTCCTAGGATTCAAGTTCTTTAGCCATTCTTCAGGCAGGCTAAGCATTTGTTGGTGGTATATTTAACATCTTCTTACTACCTGACCCCGAGGAAGTCTTTTGTTAGGATTTTATAGGTATTTTGCAAGTATAAAATGGGGCTTTAGTGTTCTTGGGGAGTCCAATAATGTTCTCATTTTTCCCTGGGAAAAACATTGCCTTGTTTTTTTATATTTAAGACGTCTGAAGGCTAAGAGCATGACAGTGTAAATGCATCATCTTTTGTTTTACTAATGATGTTCATCATAACCTAAATAGATTACTACAGTGACTTTTAGCAAACAGTATTAATGCTATTACCATTGAGGAATGAATGGGAACATTAAGGATCATTATTCTCTAGTGTTGATAAGCAAGATATAGTTTCTATTCAGCACACAGAATTTTAGTCCTCCCGAGATACTCCTTATGAGCACAAATATGTTCCTGTATTGGAACTTTTGCTTTTTATTATCATTTGGAAGTAGCATTACACTGTAATAATTTTTTCTTAACTAATGCTTGTTGAGCCACAGGGAAGACCAAAAACACATATTTGGAGAATATAGAAATGATGCTGCCCATGTGCTAGGGCAGTTCTAACAGGGAATATCAAGGCATCATAAACAGAGTAGGGACAGACAGGTGGTTTTTCCTTGACTCTGCCTGTTGGGGTTTGTGCTGACCAATTTGTCACTTGGGACTGAGTTTGTCATAACAGTTATAATTTTCAGACCAAGATAACAAACACAGGGTATAATTCCAGAGCACTGCCTGGGGACTGACCTATGTCATTATAAACCTAATGGCACGGGGAGAATGAAGTTCTGCTTTCTCACTGTATTTTTCAGTAACTGCTATGAAAAGATGGGCTCTATAAACAGAACACTGTATCCGAAGCAGCAACATAGCATATGCTACTTATATTTCATGGTATACATCAATGCCCTGCTGACATGCTATGCCTTAGGGTTTTACATTCTCAAAGCCCTTTTTAAATTTTAACAGGTCTTATCTCTATCTTTATGAATTTGATAAAATAATCATTACTACCCTCATTTCCCAGATGGCAGCACTAGCTTCTCTGAGGTTATGGCAGATGTTTGCACTTAAAATCAGGTCTAGATTTCTATGTTAAGACAACATAAAGCATGCTCTTTTCAGAAGAGCTCATGTATCTTACACTCTTTTATGCTCATGGTTCCTATGGGGAAGGATTCTTGCCCCTTCTGAAGGTGAGATGGGTTTGTTCTGTCTTGTGCAGCCACCCTTTGTACATTGGTAAGCAGCTGTCATACACAGACATTCAAAACCAACTCCTGCTCAGTTTAGAATCTCTTGGTTTCATTGGAGTTTTCCTAGAGTGCCCACAAGACCTCTGTTCTGATCTCTCTGTCAGAGAAACACAGGTCTGTGTCCACGCTGAATTGCCATGTGGAAGTGTGTGCATCTTGTGCCTGAATGTTTGGGTTTTTAAATCCAAACTGCCTGACATTCACATCAGGAGAATGAGGGCCCTCAGAAAAGTCAACTGTGAATGGTGTTTTTAATGCCATGGTCACTGCAGGAGATGGCAGCTGCTCCTGAGCACCCACCAAAGGAAGGCTTGGTCTCCACTCTCTTTTTCTTGAGATAGCTCCAGCTTGCATCTCCCACCTTGCTTGTCTCTAGGGTATGGGCCAAACTGCCTAAGAGCAGCCCACACAGCTGGGCTCTGCACAGGAGAAAATGTAGGAGTAATGAGGTTAGAGGTTTTTTTTTGCTGGACTGTGGTGCAACTTCAACAGGGGGAATAAAAAGTGACCTATATATTTATCCAATTTCAGTTAATAATAGCAACACTGACCTTGGTGCTAAGCACTAATTACCAGTGGAGGTTAAAAGACCCATCTGTGCCTCAGAACATGAGCTCCTCCCAGCTGGTCATTAATCCTCAGGAAATATCCTATGTCTCAATCATTGTTGCCTAATTATTGTTTGTTACAGTCAATAGAAGCTGCACTCTGTACTGATGAATGATACTTCTAATTGCCTGCAGGTTCAAGTGCTATTGCCCAACACAAAATCCACAGTGGGGAACTATTTTAGTGAAGGTCAGATGGGTGCTACTTTTATTTCCCACTCAGGAAAACTGCAGTAAAGGCTGTTGCAAAGAACAGCTGAGTTTTCACCAAGGAATGTTCTCGATAACTTGAGATAACAGAGGCAAAGGCAAGGGAGAGAAGAAAGGTCAAAATACTGGCACCAGTTTCTTATGGGAGTGTATCTGGAAGGACAGATATGGGTGCTTTGCTACCATGTTGGCTTGTTCAGGTAAAAAATGTGATGTAGGAATAAATACAGCAGCCATCATCTCACCTTTTATTTTGTACAATAGCTACAAATCCCTTTTTATAAAAGTTTATGAAAAAAACTGGGAATAACTTCTTGGATATTTAATCCTGTTCTGTACTAACCCAAAATTACCATCTTCTCAAAAAACATGATTAATTAGCGGATTGGGGATTGTGCATCTCCCTTTTTTTTTTTTAAGTCTACTTAGGAAAAAATGGGAACATAAGGCAAACACAATATTCACCAGAAAGCACAGTAAATTTGCAAGAGAAGAGATTTCCCTTTATTCCAGTTACAGTATAAATAAATTTTATTGTTCCAAAAGAGATTGCAGTGAAGGTCATGTGCAACATCAGGAAAATAATAAAGAGTTGGAAGAGAGACAGCTATAGAAAGATTTCTAAGATATTTGTGCTAGGATATCATAAATTACCTAATACTGAGCTAAAGGATCATAGGTCTGTTGGATTTCAGCTACTTTGAGCAACAGCATTTGCTCAAAGTAGCTGAAATCACATCAGCATTTATTTAGTCTGATTTTGAGAACTGAAGCTATAATCTGAGAGATTTCACATAATATGAATTGTTTTGCAGCTTTCTGAGCACTGGAAGAACATCAGAGAACAAATGCATCCTGACAAACTTTCCAAACCTGACGCAGCAAAAAGCTTTTTGTCCTTCATTCAGAACATCAGGAAAGCTACGAAGGAGGAGATACTGAAAATTATTAAAAGTGAAAATAAAGAGCTTCTGTAAGTTACCATGAAGAAGCTTTTAAAAGGTTTAAATTACTGAAAAATGCAGAAGGGCAAATTGCATACAAAGAGATTGAGTTCTGCTGGTGATGTCCTAGCAATGCAAACCCAGTGTTCAGTACTGTCTACAGGAAAAGGATTTTTTTTAAAGTTATGTTTGTTCTTGTAATATAATAAATTTTCAGCACACCCTTCAGCCATCAGGGTTGTATCTACAGTGCAAGGCCAACATGGTTTGTAGTTTAGCCAAAGATTCTCAAACCAAATAGTTGTTCTGAAACACCTTATAACTTGTTCTTGACTTCCCATTGGTTTCCTTCAATAGGAAATACAACAAAGAAGTATTCCCAGGCAATGTTGATGCCTGGGAATTGTCCGAGTATTAGAGTTTGGTTGTGAACAGCATGCACACTGAAACTTGAGAGTTGAAAAGCATTTCTGAGTCATATGGTTGGGATCTTTCAAATAAATTGTAGCAATAGAGATAAACCGGAGAGTCACTCAGGAAGCATAGAAGCCTTTTCTCTATGTTTCATTGTGCATGCAGTACTAAAACACTTCTTTATAACTACAGCCTTTTCCTGTAAACTTTAATACACTTGTGATGGTTGGGTTTTTAAACTTTTTTGTCTCTTATTTGCATAAATTAAAATACTATCCATGGATATGAATCTGTGTGCCATTTTGAGGTGAAAGTTCAGGGACACTTTTTCCAACAAGAGTAAAAGATTCTCTTGCAATGAAGAGCTGTTTCAGTACATAAGCTTCTTTCTCTCAATGTGCAGCCAAGTCTTTTCAGTATTGACTGGCTCATTGCAAGGATATGTTCATTTAATTTGCACTTCTTTGTAGTCCACAGGTAGTGGATGCTGTAACCTCGGCTCAGACCCCAGAATCACTGGAGGCCATGCTGGAGTTTCTTGACTTTAAGGATGCAAGCACTTTTATCCTGCAGGAGCGGTTCCTGTATGCCTGTGGATTTGCTTCTCACCCCAGTGAAACTCTTCTGAAATCATTAACTGTAAGTCCAAGGACAAAAAAAAAAACACAACAGAGCTAATATTCTTATGCCTTGTCCCAGTCAAAGGGGAAGAGAAGAAGAAACAACTGTTGCTGTTTCTAATTTTCCTTTCTTTATGCCTTCCAGGGTTTCCAATAAGTGTGCTATTAACACAAAGCCTGCAAGCAACAAATATTCCTATGCCCAGACTGAAAGTCTAATTACTTTGTAAAATATTACCAAAATCCATTACTTGAAAAAGAAACATAATACTGAATGTTAAGAAAATAATTTGAGGATTGTTTGATTGTTGCATTATGAAAGTTCTGTAATCAGAACTGTAAATCCCCCCTTTTTTTTCCAAATGAATCTACTTGAGACACTGAATGTAACTGAAGGTGAAAATGACACTGAGTTATTATATGTAATATATATGTAATGATAGAGCTGTGCTGTGCTTAGCCTGAGCCCAGGCCATCGTGGTAATCACTGCCCTTGCATTGCATTATTGTTCACAGAAAATGAGGGAACCTGTTGAACCCACAGCAGTGTGGCTGGTCATGTTTACTCTGAGACACTAAACAGCTTTGCTTTTGCATGACAGGAGAAGTTCAAGGGAGATGTCGCCAGTCAAGAAATCAGAGAAACTCTTGTCATTGTCATGGGAGCCCTCATTAGAAAGCTGTGTGACAGGGATGGCTGCAAGCTGCCAGTGAGTATCTGATGGTCACTGCTGCCCAAATTCTGGTCTGCAACACACAGCACCGATCCCTGGTGACATTACTGGGGGAGCATGACAGACATGGGAAGCAGATTCTCCCACTTAAAATAAGTCCATGAACTCCTATGTTTGATAGGGGATTGTATTTTTTTTTTAATAATGACCTCTACTTTGTCAGATTTAGGCTTTAATCTTGTCTCTTCCCATTTCTGTGGCCTGAACCTGTCAGCAGAAGCAGTGCTTGTGCTGCCTTGTCCAAAAGCTTTGCATATCCTCAGAGAAACACTGGCCAACTCAGGGTCTGTTTATTATTTGCAATCACCTTAGATTATTTCACCTCTGTAAAGAAAATTCATTGATTCAAATATTCAACTGTGCCCTGAACATGCATAGAAGGAGGAAGACTTTTACTCTGAGCATGAACTGAGTAGATACTGGCGTTAGAGGATGAGAATGATCAGACAAAGCTGCTGGATCTGTGTTGTTCAGCACTGCAGCACACCACTGAAAAGATACAGAGCCCTTTTAATTACCTGAACAGGCCCTTTTAATCTCCCTTGTTAATTGCCAAGTAGTTTTATAACATCATGTTCTGAGGCACTGAAGAACACTTCCCTTGCCTTTTTTTGTGGGAACTTGTTGGCCCCACAAGGAGGACCTGTGAAGTCCCTGAATCAGGTCAGGAGCAGCTGGCAAGTGATAAAACTCTGGATCAGGTGTCACTGTGGCTGCAGTCACTTTGGTTATGCTTGAAGGAAGCCATCAACGTACAAATGAAACCCTGTGCCACAAAACATGCCAGAACCCAGCCCTGCCCCTTCTGCTCCTGCAAAGGGAAAAAGGGAGGTTTATGATCACCATTTAATGTGCTGTTGATTTTCTTAGGCTGTTGTGGAAGCCAAAAGGTTGATTCTGAATAGGCTGGAGAAGGCCAGCAAAGACGACAACGTGCAGATGTACCTGCTGGCACTGAAGAACGCACTCCTTCCCGAAGCAATTCCAGTGCTCCTGAAGTATGCTGAGTCAGGAGAAGGGCCCATCAGCAGCCTTGCTGCTACTGCCTTGCAGAGATATGATCCTTCTTTTCTCACCAAAGAGGTAAGAAAATATACTGCCCAAGAAAAAATGTGCAGGAGACTGTATTAAAAATAAAGGGTAAATTCACAGAATTCATTTCTTGTCATCACCGACATGGACAGTGAGGTTGAGTCCAATCTCAGTAAGTTTGCTGATGGCACCAAGCTGTGTGGTGCAGTCAACATGCTGAAGGCAAGGAATGGACTGGTGGACACGTGCTAGTCAGCCCTTGGCTCCAGGGTCACATGCAGCCACCAAAGGCAGCAGGCAGTCTGCGGGGAGAACCGGGCTCTGCTCGCCAGAGGGAGCACTTGGGCACCTGTGCAGCTCTGTTCTTCCTTGTGCTTTCACACAGGGAGAGCACACAAAGTAAGAGAAGGGTAAAATAGCTGCAATTTACCCTGCAGCCTCTAAGAATAGGAAAAGACATAGAAAACAGTGGGACAAGAGGTGCTTCCTCTGCTGCATTACCTTGTATTCCATTTCATACCTGCTGGCCATCAGGATTGAGGCTGTCTGGGTGCTGCTCTGCAATGAGCATATAGGAGGCCATTCAGTGGGACTACATGGCTTTCCACAAATTCCCCTGTGACAAAGATGTGTCACAATCTTCTCAGGGACACGCCACCACAGGCACTATCTAGAAAATTAAAATAACAATATTCTTGGTTTTTAAAGTACATGTTTCCTTAACAGTCAAGAAAATCTCTGTCTTACCACTGCCGCATTTGTTCTTAGTGCTGCTACTTATTTACAGCCCTGCTTTAAAACCTGTGTGTAAGGCTGTATTTGGTCTGTGGCTGAGAGAACATAACAGATGTCCCACTTGTCCTTGTGGTCACTGAGCTATACATGTCTCAACATTCCAAAAGGACCATGAAAAACATGATGCTGAAAATATATCCTTATGTATTAGCCTTAGCTATGGAGCTAACTAATCTAACTTAAGCTGATATTATAAACGACATTCCAACCTGTACTTTGCCCAGTCATCTGCATGAGCACTGAGTGAATAATGTGTTTCCTGACCAGGTGAAGGAAACAATGAACAGGATATACCACCAGACTCGCAAAATCCACGAAAAGACAGTGAGAACCACAGCAGCTGCCATCCTCTTAAACAGTAACCCATCCTACATGGAAGTGAAAAACATCCTGCTCTCCATTGGGGAACTGCCTATGGAGATGAACAAGTACATGCTGTCCATGATCCAAGATATACTGCGCTTTGAAATGCCTTCCAGGTATATTAAGTTCAGTGTAAATAAATACAGCCCTTCCTTACAGAGAACACACAGGTTCTCATGAATTACTAAAACTTAAGGAGAGTATAAAGGAATATCTTATTTTTATGTCCCTTGTATTGTTATTTCAGAATAAATCCCTTAATTTCAATGTCATTATTTTAATAGCTATTCACATTTTCACAGGTACAAAAAAATAATTGGGCATCTGACTTGCATTACTGTGAAAAATGTCTTCTGTTGATCTTAGTTCTCTCAAATGGTCCCTTGCTTCTGTATTTTCAAAACCAGGGATGTGGAAAAATTTTAAACATCAGAGTGTGAGAATGAAAATAATCAATATATATCTTCTTAAAAACATTAATTTTCAAGCAAGATCTTTGCTTGCCTTTCTTCCTATGACTGCAGGGAGTACCTGAAATTGAAAGAGAGACTGGGTTAGGGCAGATTTTTAGTGGGAAAAGGTTAGGGTTTGGAAGACCCTCTTTCCAACTGGGAAATTCGCCCTCTCAAATTTGATCTTTCTATGAAAAAGTAATGCATGGTACTGTAACATTTTTGTATCTCAGTGGGTTTGTTTGTTTGTTTTGAAATCCCACAGCAAAACAGTTCGGCAAGTTCTGAAGGACATGCGTGCCCATAACTACGATCGCTTCTCCAAGATGGGCTCTTCCTCTGCCTACACTGGATACATCACACGTATGTAACCATGAAACTGCCTTTGAACCCTCTTTGTATTCCCAAACATTTCATTAATCCACTAGTGTAGTCACAGGTACCTTCTTTCTTTTTCAATTAAGGTGGTCCTGATGTGTCATCCACATACAGCCTCGACATCCTCTACTCTGGCTCTGGCATTTTACGGAGAAGTAACATGAACATCCGTGTTTTTGACAGAAGCACTGACCTTCATGCCATCCAGGTAACTGCCACACTGTGCACAATAACGTAGCCAGTATGTGGTCCTTTTCTTACAGCTTTTAAATCACTTCAGCTAATGCTTAAGACCATAAGGTTTGCTGCACTGGGCAGACAACAAGCCAATAACAGGGGAAAACCAATAACAGGGGAAAATCCCACAATGTGGCATAAGTTGCCATAAACAAAACAAGTGTTTTGTTTTTCATCATACATTGTGGTCTGTATCTGTGTAAAGCCTATGCTGTTTCTCTAATGTAATCAATAAAAGCTTTGTGAGTTTGTAAAATCAGGTACCAGTTCATGTTCAAAGAGTAGATCAAATGTACAAATCAAAGAGATTTTAATGTCTGTGTTTTAGAATTGTCTTGATATTGGCAAGAATCTTCGGTATTATAACTCTCCTAAATTTATACAGGACAAAAATATTGCAGTGGAACACCTCTGGCCTTTCCTCCCAACTGTCCCTGAAAAATAGTTATATGAATAAAGGAAAATGTGTTTGAAAGAAAACTAGTCTTAGGATTATGATCTGCATGTGGGTAAATCCTGCTCAGCACCTAAAGGGCAAAAACATGGCATGAGATTATTTTATTTTCCATTTTTCTAAGTACTCTTCCTAGTTCCATTAAGTCTTACCCTCATACCTTTTCCACTGCAACTACATAAATTAGAATTAGGCATTTAGACATCAAGAAAATATGTGGTGGTGTTAGTAGTCTGAGTCAGGCAGGATTTTCTCATTGATTCTGTATCACTGTTCCTTCGTAGGTGGTTCTCGAAGCTCAGGGTCTGGAGTCCATAATAGCTGCAACTCCTGATGAAGGCGAGGAAAACCTGGACTCCTTTGCTGGCATGTCAGCCATTCTGTTTGGTTTCCAGCTGAGGCCAGTGACATTTTTCCAAGGGTATGGTGATTTAATGTCTAAAATGCTCTCGGCAACTGGAGATCCCATGAATGTGGTGAAAGGACTTGTCCTCCTCACAGATTTCTTACAGGTACTAACAGCACACTGTTTGCTTCTTTTTCTGTCTCTTAAGCACAGATGGTTCCTCCCCCACACTGCTATTGTAGGACACCTTATTTTCTTTATTCTCAATGCTGAAACTTGACCAGTGTTACACAGGTTACCTTTACTAGGAGAGCAATAGAAAAGTCATGGGTATTTAAAACCAGAATGAAATTACATGAAAAGCAACCTAGAACAAAGGTGAGAACAGATATTCTAGAAAATAAACCAGAAACTTAACAAAAGCAAATGCAACTGAGTTTCCTGTTGCAAACTCATATTGCTCTCAGCTATGACCTCCCCTCCCACAGTTGCTTGTAATACACTCTTGTCCCATATGACCACCTAAGTTTTCCTCTTCACAAGTTGTCCAGGGACCTTGTGTCCAGTTAGGCAATAATTGTCAGGTGAATGAATCAGAGAAGTGTCCTTCAAAGAACAATGCTAAGAGGTCCAAATTTCAACTGTTTATTTCTAGGTAAAACAAGCAATTAAAATGAGGATTACACAGTTTTTATGCAACTGTCATCCCAAATGATTTGCTAATTTTGGGCTTAAATAGATTCACATAGAAATAAAACTGTCTACATAATGTATTATTGGAGGACTAAGAATCTAGACATCTCTCTCAAAGTGCAGGGTCAGCATCTTTGCTCTTCCCAAGCTGGGATCTCCTTAGAACCTGTGGATTTAACAGCTGTACTTGACTCACAAAACATCTGCAGTCTCAAACTTTACTTTTGGCTTTTCCCATTTAATTCTTGACCAAAGAAAGACTTATCATCTACCAGAAGTAGATGATAAGACAATCCACTCTGCTCAAAATTACACAGAAACACCCTCTGCACATGACAAGTTCTCCCATCCAGAACCCAGCTCAGCTCCTTCTAATGGTATTTTAAGTCCAGAGGGCTTCCCAAGTAGTGCCCAAATTGGCTAACTAAAGCTCATTCCAGCAGTGCTTTACAGTTCACACGCAGATTATGGGCAAAAACTTTGCTGTGACCTATTTAACAAACAGACCGCAGAGGTGAGAAAGATAATCATGTCTAGTCCTGAGCACAGGGAGCATTTAGAGAACTAAATATTTCCAACTGCTGTGCATGCACGAAGCTCCAGACATACTCTGGCTGAATCAGCTGGCTGGGCACCCCTAGAGCTCTGCTCGCCAGCAAATTCTCCACTCCTTGCCTTTGGAGAGCCTCTCAAAAGTCTGGGGCAGCCAGGCTGGGACTGTGTGCCATTTTTAACAATATCAGGGTGCAGGGTTTTCAGTCAGTCACTGCCTTTTTAGAAGCCTTGGCAGCAGTGTCTTACCTCCACAGCCCACAAGAGCAGGAATGGTTTAAAGCACTGTTGAACACAGCTTCAGGCTGAGCTCCCTTTTAAGCACAGCCCATCTTTCTAAGAATGGTCTTACAGCTACACTCCAACTCAACAGCACATCAACATGGTTTTGGCACTTCCCTGTGGCCACAGTGTTGTTTGAGGGCTAAGAATAACCCAGAAGTTATATTCCTGCTAGAAAATAAACAGCTCTCATAAAACTATTTGCGAGACTCCTAGGTCACCTGCATTAAAGTTCAGCAGTGTTAATAGTTCTCCTAGGCAACACACCTGCCAGAAGCCCAGAGAAATGAAATACTGTATTGATAGGTCAGAGAAGCCATTTGAAAGCCAGACCCCAGTGGAAGGTAGCCAGTTCCCAGAGAAGTGCTTGTTGCAGCCATCTCTATGTTGCATTACAGTAAGATTGCATTACAGTGCAATACATAAAGACACTTTAAAGACACTTTCTTATTGAAACATGGCACATTTCAGCATTTTAAACAGTAAAAAAATGACTGATTCTGATCTTGTGGGTCACATTTTCCACTGCAAATGGGACACAAAGCTTAAAATAGGAAAGCAAAGGAAAATACTTCTCCTTAGGAGGCTGGGTCCCTGTGATTTACACCTCCCATCAGCCTGGATTGGATTTGCACATGAGACGAGGGACAGGGCTGAGCTATAAATAAGGAAATAGATGAGGTAGTAAAACACAAGACAAGTGCTCTTTAACTTCTCTGCTGGTTTCAGTGACAAATACAGCTTAATTCTAGGTGGCATTAAAGTCTTGAACCGTGCAGCCTTTGTAAACCCAGCCTACTTTAATATTCTTGGATGCAATGTGACAATACATCTAAAAATATCTGCTCCTCTGGTTGTGTGTACATATCTCTGCCAGCATGTATACTGTTACCTCCTCACTCATTAGCAGCTACCCACCAATCCAGTCCCAATTAAGAGCAAAGTAAAATAAAGTAAAACAAGCTTTACGTCTACACCTAAACAGACCAACAAGGGAAATATTTTATGTCTCATTGCAGTCAATATACAAACTCCCTTTGATTTCAGAAAGGTTTCAATTTCAATCCATGATTTTAACTTGGGTGAAAATAAGAAATCAGACCATCATATGACCACGCTTGCTGGGGTCATGCTGGATTTATAAGCCACAGCCAGCCCACTGCATTCTTTAAATCTCAAGCCCACTTTAGCAGCAACTGACTGCCAAGATGGCTCTGCCAAGCTGGTTCTGTCAAGGAAATAATTTCAAGGATAATTAACTTACCCTAAAAGGTGAAGTAAGCATGTACAGCTGCCATAATTATCCGAGTCTTCGATTACAGCCAGATAACTTTAATGTTCTGAACAAAACCCTTCCCTGATATTGCTCCTTGCTATAGGGATTAGGAAGCTAGACTGACTCTCTGCTTGCTTCTTTCTTAAATCTTGGGACAGCATTAGTTGGAGCCACTGGACTACTGAATAGCTGAGAATAGAGACTTCTAGGGTGCCTGAACATCAAAAAGGGACAGGAAATTCATATTCCCACATATCCTATAAAGGCCTGAAACATTACAGATGCTGAAAATACCACAGGCACAGAAACCTGAGAGGAGAGAGAAAACCATCTGTGAGACTGAAGAAGGTGTCCTGTATATGAGGCACATGATCAAAAGAAGCTTTTCCCAAATTAATATTTCTTTTAAAATGGTGAATTAATCCACTAGTTCTTAGGGAAGCAGGACGAATATATAGAGCTAGATTGCCAAGCTGGGTAAACCCTGAAATCTTGGCTGTGTGTCAAACCTTAAAAGGAATGAACTGCCGTGACCCTGTGCTATATTACCACTTCCGAAAGTGACTTCATGGATGTGTTTCCAGTCCAGCCTTACAGGTTTCATGAAGCCATGAGCACGTTTGATATTTGATAGAAAATGCATTTAATGCCAATTAAGGTGCATTAGCTGATGGGTTTGGCCACCCAGCCACTGAAGACGTAATTCCTGTCATATGGTGGATTTGCAGCCACTGCACAAGTAGCAGCATCCCACTGCCAGTACAGGGGTGCTGGTCACACTGCACTGCACCTGTGCTGGGCTTCCAGCAAGGAGTTCAATCTGATTTAGCTGGACTGCTGTCACAGCCTCCGTGGGGCTTGTGTGGTAGCTCTTGGAGACATGATATTCCCTGCAGTGACACTCTGTGCAGAAATGATGCCAGCTGGCACACAGGGAGAGGGGAAGGATGCAAGGTGCCTTGCTGCAGCTTCATCCCATTTCTGGGGGAGGGAGGTACATCAGGATGTTTTGTCCATCCTTTCAGAAAATCCCTCTATTCCTTTTTGTTCCTGCAAAATGGCAAGTGGTGTGAGTGCAGGACCAAAGGGAATAAGGAAACCTCAGAGGTGTGCAGTCAGTAACCTGTGCTTTGCCATGACTCCAGGAAATCCAGCTGCAGTCTGGGCCCACAGCCAGTGCAGAGTTCATGGGTGGGCTGGCCATCGACATCTCCGGAGGGATGGAGTTCAGCCTGTGGTACCGGGAATCCAAAACCAACGTCAAGAACCGGTGAGATACCCCCAGCACGCGCTGTAGCTGTAGGCAGCTTAGGCTTCTGAGCCAAGGTAGCACCAATGACACAAATTTAAATATAAAAGACCTTGCAGATGAGTTAGAATTAAGCAACTAAATAAATAGAATGAAATAGTTATGTGCATGGGAGAATGTACTTCATTCCTTTCCACCTGGATAATACCAGTTCCCACTGGTCTCGCGTGAATTTATATACCTTTATGTGAAGAACAGGCTGCTTTGAGGGCAGTTTTTTTGTATGTGTGGTAGGACTATTTGTAATTCAATTTCCTCTTTTTTAATGTGTTTTGAAACAATTGTAATGCCTAATTTTTTTTTGTAGGGTAGCCATGTTTGTAGCTGGTAACACCGAGGTGGATTCCTTCTTTGTAAAAACTGGTATGGAAACCACTTTGGAAACAGAAACAGCTTTAGACTTCATCTCCACAGTGCAGTTTTCACAGTACCCATTTTTGGTCTGTATGCAGATGGATAGAGTGGACTCTCCATTCAGGTAAGAACTAAGAGCACACACTTTCTGAAGTGTCTTTCCAGCCAGCTGCTGGAACTTTTGGTTTTCACAGACACGAGATTATCCACTGAGGCCAAATTCCAGCCTAACACGATGAGGTGCAGTGCAGGCTGTTACACACACTGACCTCTCTGCTAACCCATTCCTCCCCGAGATTCAGAAATAACCTTTCTGAAGATCACAACTGATCAGCTCTGAATGTGCACTTCAGTCCAATTTTTTAATTTGATTTTGCAAGTGAATTAACTGAAGTGGCAGGACAGTTGTGCCCTTGTGTGCAAACAGTTCTGATGGTGACCTCAGGTTTTGCCAGCAGTAGTTCTCTATTATGCTATTGAGAAAGGAAGTGCAAAGCCATACATGAGCTGAAGTGGAAAGCTCTCTTCGTCATCTGCTCTTTACTCATGTCAACAAAAGTACCTGGTCTGGTACTCCTGCAGCCATTGTGTTCTATCATACTTTATTAAGGCACCAGTTTTCCTGAAAAGTAAACAACTGTGGAATAAGGTTAAAAATATGTTCTTCAGTAGCCAAAGAATAGTAATTAAATTTGCTTTATTTGGTATATTGCTCTCTTTTAATCCTTATTTGCTAAGACCTAAGGAAGGTAACATTTGTAGAGCCTGTGCCAGATTTCCATTCAGGTTATTCTCATCCAAAAGTGTTTAAAAACCTGAGAGTGTTTTAAGACTTCGAGAACCTTCAGGAAATCCTAAGAAAACAGTGTCTGCTATTCTGCAGCTACTGAAACATCTGCTGCTTCTGTCTGCTGACTGTGGAAGGGCCACCTGGCCTGTGTGCTAGGGGTTGGTAGCGGGGTGCAAGCTGTGCCCAGACCTGCTGGTGGCAGAGCCCGGTGCTGTGTCTTTGCAGGACTCACATGACCAAGTACGAGAGCCTGCCCTCCGGCAGGCGCTACACGGCCCGGAGGGGGAAGGCAGCCACGCTGGCCGGGAACGAATACCCCCTGCACCAGGAAAACTCCAACATGTGCAAGAAGGTGTTCGGCGCCAAGTCGGACTCTGCTGGCGGCTGGTTTTGAAAGCAGCGCCTGGGCTCCTGCTTTCCTGCACCCCTCAATGACTTCGGCCTGCACACACCTCACCAGCGTGGAGCTTGACCCTGCACTGCTGCATTAATGGGAAATTTGCCATTGATTTCAACGGGCCAGCATCAAACTCTCAGTGTGTGCACAGTGTTTACATATTAACCTGTATTTAAAACTTTTGTAAAAAAAAAGCCCTAAGGCAAATAAAGACCAATTTGGTAGCTTTTCATGCACTCCCATAAGGGTGGTGCTTGTTCTTCATTTTTACTTTTTTGTGCCAAAAGCAAAAGTAATCCTTCATTTTTTTTCTTGGGGAATACAGAAGTCTGTGTTTTTGATGTGTGGAAAGAACAATTATGATGTATAAAGAATGATTATTTATAAATGTATTTTAAAGTATTTAGGTATTTTAGGCCTATGACCGATCCCTGTTCAAATATTCAAGTACAATTAACATCCAGATAGGACCATGAATTCCTGCTTACTCAGTATTGCCTGTACAATAAAAAGCAGGTTTTATTTCACATTATTTTAAAGCATTTTGTGGGTTTTTTAAAGCAGGCAGAACTTGATTATTATTATTATTTATCTTTTGGAGTTTTTTTATTAACTGCTGTAGTTAAATACAATTGATTAACAGTGTAGGGTTATGTTTCCAGAAGGAACTTACAGTTGCCTTAATTCTGTTCTCATTGAAATCAATGGTGTAATTTCTGTAGCTACCAGAAGCAGGAGCAGAGTTAAGCCAATACTGGCAGCTCATCAAAATTTGTCTCCCTGTGTGTAATCAAGGCAGGTGCATTTCAAAAAATGACCATTCACTAAGGCAATTCAGAACTATGAAGAAGGAAAGGATCTTGAAAGAAATAGATTTTGGATGCACAGTCTAGCAAAGCCTGTGCTGAGCCAGAACATTTTTTTCTAGGTAAGTTAGGCTTGTATTTCAATGCAAAAAATAATCACTACTCAGACAAGTCCTCTGATTAAAATTACTTAGACACTTCAAGCAGTGTCTTCATAGGATATGTGAAAAAATAAAAAAAAGTTTTACATCAGCATTGCAGATTAAAAAAGAATATACCCCATCCCAGCTCAGCTGATCGCTCTGATCCTTCTGATTTCATTTTTATAAGACAAGGTGGGCAAGTGCTGTTCACAAAAAAAAAAAAAAGTAAAATAAAAAGGCAAGAACAATTGTTTATTTTTTAAAATCCCAAACCCAAAAGCAGCCGAGAAAAACCCATAAATTGTCATGAAAAAAATTTCTTACAAAATTAAGGAAAAAATCCAAACTCTTTTGTTTTGTAAAAGCCAAGAGTGCAGAAATCTGCAAAAATCAAACTGTTAGTGGGATGAAATGGTCTGCTTGTTGTCTTTCCTGAAAATGCTGGCACATTTCTAGTCAAAGCCTAAATAAAACAGGTAAAAATACAGTGTGAAGAAATTGTTTCCAGTCTTATTGTCTGTTACTTTCTGGGTGGGGAAAGCCTCTCATTGGGGAAGGAATGCTGTTGATTGGGGTAAGAGGAACCATTTTACTCACCTTCACAATATGAAGCCATAAATTAAACTGGCACTCAGGTCCTGGGCTCCCTCTCTAATCAGGAGACCTCCTGATTAGATGAGGATGCACCACGGGCTGGAGGTGCCTGCCCAAGCCCTCTGCCCAGAGGAGAGCTAAGACCCAGCCACTCCTCCTCAGCATCCACTCACAGTCTGCTCCCTGTTGTACACTCTGATACCTCCACTGCTGTTTCAGGAACAAACTGAAGACAAACCTTTGTATTTGTTATTAATACTTGCTCTTTGTGTCACACAAAACAAAAAGAAGAGCAGAGCTACTTACTCACTCACCTGGCAAGAGGCAGTCTCCTCCTGCAGAGACCTGACACCCTAAATACAGAAGGTGGACGATGAAATAGCTGCCATCACTCCTTTACTTGCAGAGTTGAGATATCAACAGATGACACCTCAGCCCCACTCTGCAGGCTTGCCTATCAATTTACAACCCAAAATCAGAATAAAAAGTTTCTAGATAATGCAGTTTATATCTGTAAGATCTTTGTCTGATACCAGCAATCCTTACATCATACCAGCAAAGCTTACCCCTTCTCAATTGTGTCAAATTGAAGACCCAGCCAGTAAAGGGACACTGTGGACCTCCCACAGCTTTGACACTTAAACAGAGCCCCTGAGACCCCCACTGCTCCTTCAGAAGGGATACGTGTCTTTGTGGATACCCCCTGGCATGGCAGCAGATGCTGCTGAAGCTATCTGACCCCAACAGCTGGACATAATGGGAATTCCAGGAGAGGTTTAGTCCAGCAGCTGGGTAATGGAAGGCCATGGCTTCCTTACTGGGGCTCCATAGCTATGGAAACAACAAAAGTAACAAACTTCTAAAAATAAGGTGAAATGAATACATTGCTCCAGCCTGCATTTGAAGGAAAAACACATTTAGGGGTACAAACAAAGCAAATGCTCTGTTTATCCAATTAGCGGGGGTTAATCAAGATGTAAAATACGTATTTAATAGTGGTATTACATGTACTTTTAAGTAATCAGCAGTGGTAGCAATTAAACAATAATTCATACCTGAAGTTCAGAGAAGGAAACAAATGCTCAGTCTTTTCTAATTGGAAGCCACAGAAGGAATAGTGCAATGAAAATCCAGCTAAGTCCAAAAAGCAACCCACTTGCAATAGAGACTTGGAAACTTTCCCCTTCAGGTTTCCTTCCCGGAGTGCTAATTTTTGAACAGTGTTTTTCATCTACTCTTAAAAAAATGTTCATATATATAGAGATACAGTTTGGGTTTGGCAGGCAGCTTACATGTTCTCAACAGCAACAAGCCTACGGGTCAGCAATTCTAATATAGGTGCCATTTTTTTTGTTTGGGTTTTTAGTTTTTTTTAGCGTTATGTTCTATGTTTGGATAACTTGTTTAGATCTGACATCAAGGAATTATTTGCTTCTCATTTTACTTTGTTTCTACTCCTTTTCACAATAGAGTTGCACTTTTACCGTCATTCCGACCAGTGATATTTTAACGACTATGTAGAAACTTATAAGATTTTCTCCAACAATCCTTGAAAATCCCAGACATATTCCACCTTTCAGTTCATTTAAAGTATCGTAAGAAATGCTCATACTTTAATTTCAGTAGATTCATGTGGTGTGAGGCAGTTTGTGTCTGGACAAACACTGGTTGCATTACTGATCTCCTTAAGGAAGGGTTAAAGTTCATGTCTCTCAGTTTATTTACTTTTGACCTCTCTTTTGTGGAGGTTTCAGCTTCATTTTTCCACCTATTGTGAGAAACCAGCAGTGCAGTGAAAATCTTGTAACAGATCTCCACTGAAATAAGGCTTCAGGAGCTTTCCTTCAAGAAAAGCAGAGTTCCCATATTTTCCAGTTGACAACCCCAGGTCCCTTTGCAATTTCGGACTTCTCTGCTTTTAATAAAGTGATCCAAGGCCATTCTCTCTGCTCTACCCACCCACTATTATTTTGTGTCTGTTTTGGTCACCCTTTATCTCCTGGTAGCCCAACTTGCTTCAGTTTTCCTTTAAGCGAAAGTGTTCTTTTAAACTGCAAAAGTAATACTTCAGTTTTCAAGTCTATTTTGGTATTTTCTGGTGTTTGACTCATGCTTTTTTAAACACTTGGACTTTAACAATAGAAACCTTTTCAGTCTCCATGAAGATAGAAGGAAAATACTAAAGCAGCAAAAGATTTTTCCTAGTTATAGTTCAAGCAATAATGCTATCCACTAATAAACTCATCTTATGTATGCTTATATGCAAATGTTAGGCAATGAAGATAACATGGAGAGTGAGCAGAAAAAAGTTATTTACTCCACCAATTGCTCTCTCTGAACACGTTACAACATACAAAGATGCAGTTCTTTGGATACCCAAACCCATTTACCAGTCAAAGTTAGTTCACTGAAACTGGGGAGTTTTTTCTTAAATTATACTTGGGTAAAAAAAATAAGCAATGCCAACTTCCCTTTGTTGTAAGAGGAAAGAATAAAGAGAGATCAGGTCAGAAGGAGACTTTCAATACTGGAACAAACTCAGGGAGACTCTGAGTGTGGGGGTTTTGATCAGCACTCTGGTGTAATCCCCTCTTCTGTTGGTGTTTACATGTTGAACCAAGTAATGCCTCTGTTTTCACTTGTTCTGCACAACCCCCAAGGTAACTTTGCAAATATACAACCAGGCAGGACTGCAGGCTTACTTGCAGTGTGTCTTTTACTGAAAAATACATTTTATTTATCATAACATTCAAGAGAAAAAACAAAAACAAAAACAACAAACCCCAACATAATACAAATGCCAACTCATTCAGGTACAAACTTTGGTACTTGGCAGTTTCAGACACTCTGTTCTCCCGTGGCTGTGATGCTCCGAACTTCCCACCGTGCAATTCCCAGAGCGCTGCCGCTATCCTTCAATCCCAGGCCCACGGCACCCTGCAGTGGGATCACTTTGGGTTTCAGCTACACACTTGCCACAGTGTTCTCTCCATTGAGAGCAGCTCAAAGAGTCCATTTCTCTCCAGTTATACATCTTCTGTTTCTTAATTCTTCCTCCACAGGCAACAGTCATCAACAGTTCACGGCGTTTTCCCCTTTGCCTTACAGCCCACCTCTCTCTCATCAAACATACCACCCACATCCTCTTAACAATCATTATGTTTACTTCACATTTGCACTTTTAAATATCTTTACACCAATAAGTAACTCACCCCTTTAAAAATGAGAGGAAAAAGAAAGGGGCAGGGAGGAAAAAAAAAGAAGAAATAAAAAAAAAAAGAAATAGGTGAAAAAAAGCACAAGCATTTTTGAAGTATGTGTTCTCAGGTAGCCACAAGTTAATGGCAACATATAAGCATAAGGAATGACACTTTGGCCATCAACACTAAAGAATAAAGGTAGCACTGAATACAGACAAGAGGGAAAAACACCCCACACAACCCATAAATACATT